TGTGTGTGTGTGTATACATATGTGTGTGTGTATATATATATATCATAAACTCAAGTCCTTATCTAAATGTCCAGACTCTGGGTGTGTGTAAGGCTATCAAACTGCAAAAGGCCTAGGCAGACCCTAAGAAAAACAAAAGTTGTTTTTCTTGGAAGTTGTTTTCCTCATCGCAAAGTTTAAAACTCAAATGACTGAAAAGCATAGCAGGTGACATAAATGTGCAAAGTCAGTTGGAGGGACATTGTGGTAAACTGAAAAGTGTAAGCTGACTCAAGGCCTTCGAATAAAATTTAAAATAATTCTGTCACCCCGAAGAGCCCTTCTCCAGTACCCACCTCCCCAGGGAATGCAGTGAGTGGGGTCCTCCCTCACCCTTTACTTAATAGAGACAAAGGCTGGAGACGGAGAGAGGCTGCGACTTGCCAAAGGTTGGTCAGAGCCAGATCGGTCTCCATACCAGGCTCCTTCCCTGTCTCAGGCAGAGGACAGGTTGCCCAGGACACAGCAGGCACCGGGAGCTCCTTAAATGGAAGAGTTTCTCCTCTTCCTCCCTGGGGTGCCTAGTGGGAAAGGTGGGCAGATTAAGCAACAGGTACCAAAGCCGCTGTCTCTCACCCTGAGTGGTCTCTATCCCCTCATCCCACAGCATCTCAAAGACAGAAGCCAACATGCCAATGCCCTTGGGCCTCCCACCAGCTACGACAGAGTCTGGAATCATAACCTCGCCTAACCACAGGGACGAGCCAGGAAGCCAAGATGCCCCTGTACCTTTTACCTGCTCTTCACAAGACCTGCTACCATGAAAGGAAGATAAAAGAACATGCTTTACAGAGAGTGGTGACAACAGCAAGCACTTACATCACTCTTACTATGCTATGGGCCAGGCGCCCTCAGCACCAGTACTCTCGTCACCCCGTTTTACAAATAAAGAAACTGGAGGACAAAGAGGTGAAGTAAGTCCCTGGCACCCTAACTAGTAAGCAGCGGAGCTGGGAGCCACTTCAGTCGTCCGTCTCTAAAGCCCAAGTTCCGCGCACTGCATCACCGGGGCCTCGCTTGGGGTGGGGAGCACGGTAGAGAAAGAAGCTGGATCTAGTGCTAGTGTGCTTTTGAGAGCAGAAGAATGGGAAAATTCCTCTCTGACTCTGGAAAAGGCCAACTGTAATCTCAACAACACAAGTCTCCCAACCTCAGAGCCTTTCTCTTGCCAGCCTCAGACTGGAGCACGGACTCGGTGTGCCATCCAGGGTCATGGTTCTTTGGGGGACACGTTAGGCCCAGCTCACAGTCAGGGCGGCTCAGCCAGTCTGCAGAGAATGGGGCGTCTGGGCGGTGCGGCCCTCTCAGAAGGTGAGCCTCCCTTGAGCCTCGGATGAGAGCAAAGCTGCTGGGTCCTGCTGTGGGAGTGGGCGCGGCGCCCACTCGGGCTTTCTTACAGCTGCAAGAGAGGACCCCGGCCATGTCACTCCTAAAACCCACCTGGGACTTGGAGGCAGCATTGGTGATTGGAAGGGGGGAGGGGAGTAGGCGGCGGAGGGGGGAAGGAAGGGGGCGGGACCTCGCTGAAGCGGCTGGAGGGCTTGTTCCAGTGCTAGAACGCCTGGGAGGAGTTACAGTGGGGAGGGGGTCAGGAGGAGCGAAAGGAGAGGAGGCGGAGCTGGGGGACCCGGACAGTTTAAACTGAAAGGGGGAGTACCGGTAGAGAGAAGGTGGCGAAGCAGCACGGGTGGGTGGGAGGGGCAGAGCTGATATTCGGGTCCCTTGGTGGGAGCGAGGCGACTTCTCCCCTCTATCCCCAGAAGCTCATAGTCCGGAATTCTCTGCTGTGACATTCTCCCGAAGGGCCGGTCTGTCGGAACCCGGCCCAGCAGTCTCTGCGTCTCCCCTTCCCTTTACGGGGGTGGAAGGGGCCAGGGGGTGGGGCCAGAGAAAGGGTTGGGGTATCCCAGCCTACCCCCCACCAATCGCCGCCCAACGTTTCAGCTGCGAGAACTGATGGACGCAGGCACCGCTCACCTCGGGGGCTCTTTGCCGGCTATGCGCCGAGATCCAGGTTGAGGCGGAGATCTGGAGCCCTCGGCGCCCTCCTCTCCAGCGGGGCCGGTGGGGAGCGGCCGCTGCGCGACCCTCTGGGGAGGGAGAAAGAGCGAGCGCAAAGCCCGCGGGTCCTAGAACAGGGCGGGGGCGGGGGGAACAGACAGCCCTCTCCTCCTACAGCGCATCCATCCTCAGAGGCTTGTCCAGGACTCTCTTCTCACCAAGACCCTTTTCTAGGGTTTCCAGTCCTGGCGCATCTGGGAAGGGGACCCCTGCCCGGCCGCGCCCCGCCCCCCGGCCCCCGCCCCGCCGACGTCGCATTAGCATGAGCGACGCAAGTGGCCTGGGCACCACTCGGGGGCCGAGACTCGCCGCGTCACAGCCCCGAGTGGAAAGGGAAAAAAGAGGAGGCGGCGGAGGAGGAGGCAAGAGCCGACGCGAGGGGAGGGGAGAACGGCCGCTGGGCGAGCGAGCCGGCGGGCGGGCGGCAGCAGCATGCCCCTCGGCCCGCGCGGGCGGCTTTTCAACGCTTCGGGGACGGCGCCCGGGGAGCCGGAGGTGCAGCGTGCTCAGTCTCTAGCCCTGGCCCCTCGGCGCGCCCGCCTTCCCTGACCGCCCTTGAGCCCAGCAGCGGCGGGTCCCAGCTCGGCTCCGAACAGCCGCGGCGTCTCGAGGGGCAGGGTCTTTGCCTTTCCCGGGACACAGGGCCATGAGCCCTACAGCCACCTGAGGCACAGGGGGCGCTGCGCTGCGCCGCGCGGAGCGCGCCGGCGAAGTTCGGTGCCCTGGTCTCTGCACTGCAGGGCGCCCGCGCCCGGCCCCGGCGGAGGCGTCCTCGGAAGAGCGGCGGAGTAGAGGCGATGGAACCCGCGGCGCCGGTGGGCCCGGCCAGGGCGGCAGCCATCAAGCTGTCGGAGGCGATGGGCGCCGTGCTGCAGGATCCCCGGCGGCAGCGGCGCCTGGTGCTGGTCATCGTGTGCATAGCGCTGTTCCTGGACAACATGCTGTACATGGTCATCGTGCCCATCGTGCCCGACTACATTGCCCACATGCAGAAGGCCGGCAGGAACACCCCGAGCACCGAAGCATCCACCCTGCAGCCGTCCACTCCAGCCAATGGCGGTGCCAACATGGGCAACACTTCAGAGTCCCCGAAGGCAGAGACAGAGAGTGAGGACGTGAAGATCGGGGTGCTGTTTGCCTCTAAAGCCATCCTGCAGCTGCTGGTGAACCCCCTGAGCGGGCCCTTTATTGACCGCATGAGCTACGACGTGCCGCTGCTTATCGGCCTGGGCGTCTTGTTCGCCTCCACCTTGCTGTTCGCGTTCGCGGAAGACTACGCTACGCTCTTCGCTGCGCGCAGCCTGCAGGGCCTGGGCTCGGCCTTTGCGGACACGTCTGGCATTGCCATGATCGCCGACAAGTATCCGGAGGAGCCGGAGCGCAGCCGCGCGTTGGGCGTGGCGCTGGCCTTTATCAGCTTTGGAAGTCTGGTGGCGCCACCCTTCGGGGGCTTCCTCTACGAGTTCGCGGGCAAGCACGTGCCCTTTCTGGTGCTCGCCGCTGTTTCGCTGTTCGACGCGCTGTTGCTGCTGGTGGTAGCCAAGCCCTTCTCAGCTGCGACGCGGGCGCGGGCCAACCTGCCGGTGGGCACACCCATCCACCGCCTCATGCTGGACCCTTACATCGCCGTGGTGGCCGGGGCGCTGACCACCTGTAATATCCCCCTCGCCTTCCTCGAGCCTACCATCGCCACGTGGATGGAGCACACGATGGCGGCGTCTGAATGGGAGACGGGCATGGCCTGGCTGCCTGCCTTTGTGCCGCATGTGCTAGGCGTCTACCTCACCGTGCGCCTGGCGGCGCGCTACCCACACCTCCAGTGGCTGTACGGAGCCCTCGGGCTGGCAGTGATCGGAGCCAGCTCCTGCGTGGTGCCTGCCTGCCGCTCCTTCGCACCACTAGTGGTCTCGCTCTGCGGTCTCTGCTTTGGCATTGCGCTAGTTGACACGGCACTGCTGCCCACGCTCGCCTTTCTCGTGGACGTGCGCCACGTCTCCGTCTACGGCAGCGTCTATGCTATCGCCGACATCTCCTATTCCGTGGCCTATGCGCTCGGGCCCATAGTGGCGGGCCACATAGTGCACTCGCTCGGTTTTGCGCAACTTAGTCTTGGCATGGGCCTGGCCAACCTGCTCTACGCGCCCGTCCTACTGCTGCTGCGCAACGTGGGCCTCCTGAGGCGCTCCCGCTCCGAACGCGATGTGCTCCTGGATGAGCCACCCCAGGGTCTGTATGATGCTGTGCGCCTACGTGAGCGCCCGGTGTCTGACCCCGACGGCGCAAATCGAAGCCCCTCGGGCCCCTTTGACGAGTGCGAGGACGTCTACAACAATTACTACACCCGCAGCTAGCAGTCCCGCTACTCCTCCAGGCCACCCACCCACTCCCCCACCTCCCTGGGTCAAGGTGGCTACTTTGTTAGAGCACTGGCCAGCTCAGGCTCAGGGCCCGCCCCTTCCAACGAGTATTCCACAGCCTCGCGCATCTTGACTTCCCTGTCGGGATCCCCTCTCTATGACCCCTTTCTGTGCCTCCCTCCCTCTCGTCCAGTGGGGCGTAGAGCACGGAGGCACGCGATGCCATACGGTCCTGCAGAGATAAAGAGGTGCGAGAGGCGCCACCTCGGGGCTCCCCTGTGTAGAACCGTGCGTCTGTCTCTTTCCTTCCGTTTCTCTCAGTGCCAAGTTGGCCCCCTGCACCGCGGTGCTTCCGGCCCGAATCAATAAACTATATCTGTTCGAGACCGAGTCTCTTTACTGATGAGGGTGGGCGGCCGGGCACAGGGCCAGGGCAGAGGGGAGGGTGAGCGGGGTCTAGCCCTAATCCAGGTCTACCCTGACAGCTCTCGGGAAGCCTGTGGCAGAGGAGATACGAAAAAAAGCAAATCCAGCAAAGGCTCCCATACACCCTGTAGCACACGACTCCCTTCAGCCCGCGACAGCCCCTTCCTTCCAGCCCCAAAGCAGCGCCCCAGGGCGCCGCCCGGGGGAGCCTGAGGACCCGCTCCCTCCGGGTACGCTAGGCCCCGCCCCTTGAGGACACTCCCTGTGTCAGCCTTGGAGCTCTGAAGCGCCAGGCGTGGGCTCCCTTCGAGCCCGGCATCCCCGCCCGCTGCGGCTCCGGTGAGGAGTAGTGGCCGAGCTGTTCCGGACAGAGGTCTCAGTCAAGTGTGTTCGATAGATAGCTAGGCTCTACCCTTCGAGGAGCCGGGGAACAGTTGGTGTGTCTGCTGTGTCCTGCCTGTGCGGGTCTGAGTCATGACTGAAGAGGGTGCCAATGTAGGAGCTGGTGCCAACCCCCCACCCTCTTTACCCCACCCTTACCCCGGCCTTACGGGAAGCATCTGGCCAAGGCTGTCGGAAGTCTCCCCACCTGAGTCTCCGGACCTGCCGGCCCCGGGTTTGCAGGCCACTCCCAGTCCTGGAGCCTGCGGCCTGATGAAGGCCGAAGAGCCCTCCAGTTCTGGTATAGAGGGGCAGCGGAGTTGGGGTATGCCTGTGTATTAAACAATGCCTGTAAGCGTCTTCACTGCTGGAGCGTGCACGTCTGTCCCCACTCTGCGTGTTGGGCTGTGTGTGTGGGTTTGTCTGGGCAGGGTCTGTTTTTGTGGATCTGTCTTTGTGTGTTGGTGTGTAAGGATCTATATCTGGGATGGGGATGGGGGGAGGAGTGCTTTGTCTGGGAGGAGTGTCTGCCTCTGGCTGCGTGGTCTTTAAGCATCCCCAGGTCTGTTATCTCCACTCCCTCCCCCCCCATCCCCCCGCCCCATAGTGCCAGCAAGGATGGAGTGGAAATAGAAAAGGAGGGAGAACCTGCAGTGATCAATAAAGAGGGTTATTATTATTATTACTTTCATTATCATTTTGAAAGGAGTTGTAGTTTGATTTGAGCCTGGCCTAGACGGCGGGGAGGGCCCAGATTTCCCCGGACCCAACCCTCTCCAGGGTTATGCGGACGCAGCCGGGGCTAGCGTAATGGAGTTGGGGGAGCGCCTGGACTGGGGAAGGCTGGTCAGGGGACCAGTGGGCATGGGTGGGGCAATCTCGGGCCTGGATTCCGCCGCCCTGACACAAACTCATCTGGGAAGCCGTCCGAGCCGGGGCAGGGGTCCGGGAGGTGGGATCGCTGCAGGCTGCGGCGGGGGTGGGGGCGAAGATTGAGAGCGAGAGAGACGGGGTGGGGCTGAGCGAGGGAGGGAAAAGGAGAGAGGGGAAGGAGGAGGAACAGGGGGAGGGAGATCACAGGCACGGCCGGTCCGCCGGCAGCCAGTAGGGAGGCCGCGGGGACCCGGCGACGTCGGAGTCTCTACCGCGGACAGAGGCCCCCACCGCCGTACTGCTGACGCGCCCCTGGATCCCTTCCGGCTCACACTCCCGCCCCCAGTCTTGCCTGGTGCGGGGGAGCTGCGGCCAAAGCGGCAGAACCGAGGAGGGCAGGTGAGAGGGGCTGGGCTAGAGGAGCGCGGCGCGGGGAACAGAGCGCAGGGAGCCGAGGGCGGTGGAGGAAGGCTCCGTCTAGGGAGGGCGCGCGGATCCAGAGGCGCCAGGATCCCCGGGATTTTCCCGAGTCCTGAACCGAAGCGGCCGTCGGGGAACTGCCGGGAGACTGTTGGATTCCACGGCTCTGGCGCTTGCGCACCGAGAGTGGAGGCAGGCGGACCGGGAGGGAGCAGGACCATGAGAAGTTAAGGGGAAAGGGCTGGGAGAGGCTTGACCATCAGGCTCCGCGGCTCCACGTGCGTATCCTCGCTTCTCTATTCTCCTGGATCCCCGCGTGCTAAATGCCAAGGTCTGCACTTTCAGTGCCCAGCCATGGCGTTGCCAGGGCTCACGCGGACCCCTTTGAATTGCGGGTGCGCCCCCGACCCTCGCGGAGGCGGGAGGTGGGGAGCAGCCGCAGGTGGCATGTGTGAGCTGGGTCCCAGGGAGTCCCTAGAGAGCAGGGACCGCCTGTGTTGTGGGGGCGGAGCTGGGATTGGGCGCCCGGGGCAGAGCGGAGACCCTCTCCTAGCAGCCTCCGGAAGCTAGGCTGGTGGCAGCATGCATTGGAGGGCACCAAGTAAAGACAGACAGAAAGATACGCGTTCGGATAGACATACGCCTCTTAATTGCTGGCCCATGGGCCAGGGAGGAAAAGCAGCCCCGAGGACACCAGGCCCTCCCATTTGTTCCCCAGGAAGCCATACCTTTCCAATCCCACACCTCTCAAAGATACAGGGTTTCCAGCTGCAAAAGGGCCTTTACCAACTGGACCTTGCCTTCATCGTCCTTTCAGAACTCTGCAGCCCTGCAGGACCCTAACTTGGATGCCCGCTGCTTCCATTTTGCAGGGTGTCAGGGCAGCTACCATGCTATTCAACAGCTCTGGGGGCCACCTAGACCAGAGCATCCTGGCACAGAGTTAGTGTGGGTTCTGTATTCTCTGCCTAGTGCTGCCAGACAGCCCCAGGCTCCCCCATTCCTGAGCCTTTTTCATCCATCTTTCTAAATGCTCTGTCCTTGGGTCATCTGTGCCTGGAGCCTAGCCCCCACCTGCGCTGTGCTTGCTTGGGGTGGAGGATCACATGAGCTAAACATGAGTTTTAGGCTCTTAGGAAAGAATAGAGGATGGGTAAGTGAAAAAGCATGGGTGTGTGGCTCTGAGGCTCTGCTTAGGGGGGTCGCTGAGGGTAGAGGATGGTCTTAAAAATGGGCTTTTGCCCCTGTTGTCCTGGGTCACTTCTACTGTAAATAAAAAATTATCCATTTTTCATCAGGCTGAGTCAGGTGGCCCCTAGGGGCGGGACTGCCCAGCTGCCCTGTACCGTCTCCCTCAGCATTCTCATGCCACCTACACTAGGAGCCTACAAACCAGAAACTGATTGCCTAAGTCACAGTCCAACCAGAAGGCCCCAGGACCCTCCACCACAATCCCTGCCTTGGCCACAGGCCAGGCTCCCCGTCAGCCCAGAGTGCGTCCTGGAGCCCACAGCCTTGGAGGACCTGTATTCATTTACGCGTGCATTCACGCATACGTGCATTCCTTTTATTCAGCTACCCAGCCCTGATCCTACTCCATGCTCATCACCCAGCTGGGTCCCAGAGATGAAGCACTGAACACAACGGGAGAAGCTCACAGTCTACTAGGAGAGATTTTAATCAGCAAAACATTTATCTGTTGGATCTCAGGCAGGAACAAAGCGAGTACACTGCCAATGACCCCTTATGATTTGGAGTGAGCCTGCCCAAACTTGCTCTTTCCCACTCTGGCCTGGGGTGGTCAGTTGAGCCTGGGGGACAGTCTTATGGAACAGATGTCAGCTAAAGGCTTGCTGTAGACCTCTGTCTATCCCATCTGGGGATTCAGAAAGGACACTGTGGTAAGGGGTGCTGGTCTGGAAGTGGGAGGTTGGGACCAGGTCTATAAGGAGGCCTGGTGTAATTGGGCCCCACGTCCAGCTCTGGTCTCCTCCCAGGGAGGGGTGGAATATCGGGCTCTGGGAGGTGAAGGGTCCGTGGCAGTTCTTTGTGGCTGTTCTTTGTGGAAGTTCTTTGATGCCTCCCTGCTTCTTGGTCCCCAGGTCTGCACCTCTGCTTCCCTTGCCAGGAGTCACCACGATGCCCATACTGGAAAAAGTTCCCCAAAAGATGGCAGCAAAAACTCCCAGCACTGAGGAGGAGCCTGTGAGTTACTTTTGGAGTCCTGTCCCTTATCCCTACTCTTCCCCCCTCACCTATCCTTGCTTCCAGAATAGTCCTGTATGGGACTGGCCCTGAGCACTTGCCTGGCAAACAGCCCTGCCCTCTGCTGGGCATAAAGCCCAGGCTGCAGTCCTGCCCTGAGCCTGGGAGAGCCTGGAGGGGTGGGGAGTGGCTTCACGGGGTGCTGAAGAATTGCTGACAGCCATGCTTCCTAACTCCCAAGGCCAGGAAGAGCCCTTGACCCGGGTCAGGTACTCTATTCCCAAGGCTTTTCCCTCTCCCCAAGTTTCACTTGCAAAGGCTTTGAACCCAGTGGAGTTGCCTTAGGCTAAGACTGAACTCTCTAATCCTTGTCATATCCCAGCCCCGGCTGCTGTCCCTCGTTCAGTCCTGGAGGCTTAGGCACAATCTTCCCCACTGGCTGAAGGCAGTGCCACCCCTCCTTAGGCAGGCATCCTCCCTCCCCACCTTCCTAAGTGGTGCAGCACCCCGTCTAATCTGCAGGTCATTGAGGTGTTGGCCCCTTGGCTACATTTGTCTTCGTGCCACGTCTTTTCCTGGGGCTTCATTTGGAACCCTAATCAGAACTTTTTGGCTTCTCCGCATGAAATTGCTCACCACATTGTCCTGACTGTTCCAGCTGACAGACAGCTCTGTTGCTGAACATGCCATGGCGTGTTCCTCGAACTAGACTGGGGCTTCCCTGAGAGCAGCCCTTCTTTCTCCATTGTTCCTAAGTCCAGTCCAGGGCCTGGCTCACATGCACTGCCCATGAAATGTGTACTGACTTGAGACCCGAGTGTCCAAATTAATGTCCTCATTAGTACATGTCCCTGTCCAGGAAGCCCAGGATAGTCTGGGGAGGAGCCCCATAGGGCTCAGACATGTGAGCCGAGATTTCCTGCCTTGTCCCATTTTACCCACCACCACTGATTCCCCATGACTGAGTCCCAGCACACTGTCAGAGCCCTGAGGAAGGGTGGCCTGATTCTAGCAGGGGCTCCAGTCAGGCCTCCTGATACTCTTGGCAAGGCCACCAGCTGGACTGGGCTTCCTGCAGGTGCCTGCCCACCTGCCCACCATAGACCCCAAGAGAAGGAAGAGGGAACCAGAGCAGCTGGGGGAGGGGACCTGACATGGCTCTCTTGAAGTGGTTGGAGCAGCCTAGAATGCTGTCCAGAGCACCCTCTTCCGAGCATTCCCTGGGGTAGGAGCAGCCTACAGTTGGCACTGATACCCTCCTCCCTCCCCCTAGGGCAGTGAGCTCTCAAGACAGGATCAGGCAGGCAAAGACTCCCATTCATTCATAAGCACAGGCTCCTACACTTGGTCCCTGTCTGCCCAGGGCAGCTCTGGGGAGGGCTCCAGCCCAGGCAGCCGCAGGACCAAAGCACAGGCAAGCTTTCAGTGGGTCCCTTTACTCCACAGCCTGCCCCCACCACCCCAAAGGGAAAAACCCCCGAAAGAAGGTGGCCCCCTACCACCAACTTTGTGAACGCAAATCAGTACTATAAAAAGTCATGGTTTGTGGCTGTGAGTAGATCAGTGAGGAAGAAGGGAAAGGAGGGGATGGAAAAAGGAGCCAATCTCTCCTTCAGTGTTATACCCTTTGGGTCCAGAGATGAACTAGCTTCTGAAGCCCCAGCTGCGAACAATTCCTAAATTAATGGTGACCAGCAGCCAATATGAATAACGGGTCTCTTTTACCTTACACCCATTCTTTGTGGTTTAAAAGCACTTTCATGTAGGATCTGTTTGATCTGATAAGAGGTAGAAGCTATTACCCCCATTTTACAGGGGAGGACACTGAGGCACAGAGGTGAGGGAGTTTGCTTATGATCACACAGCTTGTCAGCATCTGGTTCAATGCATGAACCCTGGTGTGTCTGGTGCCAACATCAAGGTCTTTTCCTCTACACTTTATCCCCTCCTGGGGGCAGGCCTGGGATATCAGAAAAAACAAACAGAAGCTTTCTAAGGTCAGAATTCCGCTGAGCTGGGTCCTGGAAATAGGCAAGACCCAAGATGGGGAACAAGGATAGGAACAAATGGAGACACACTCCAGGGACCAACCTGGGGACAGGCACAGTCTTATGGACCCCACATAAGATCCGGCATAACAAGTGCCTGTCAACTCTCTCTTCTAGGAGTTGCCCAAACTTCCAGTGCCCCCACTGCAGCAGACCCTCGCCACTTACCTGCGATGCATGCATCATCTGGTACCTGAGGAACAGTTTAGGAGGAGTCAAGCCATCGTGCAGCAGTTTGGGGCCCCGGGTGGCCTTGGGGAGACCCTTCAGCAGAAGCTCCTGGAACGACAGAAGAAGACAGCCAATTGGGTAAGAGTTGTTGAGAGGAGGCAGACTGCAGAAAGAAGGCAACGCAGACAAGGAAACCACAGGGTGGGGGGCAGGGAGCAGACATGGAGGCGGGTTTGGATGAGGGGCAGGTAGGTAACAAAGATGGGACAGATGGGGGGATAGGGAAGAAAGGAGAAACAAGGGGACAGCAAGGGCAAAAATGAGGGATAGACAGGATGTGGGATGGGAGATAGGGATGGGGATCAAGCAATGGGAGTCAGGGATGGGGGACAGACAGGGACAAGGATAGAGGACAGATGGGGAAAGGGATGGGGACAGGTGGGGCCACAGGGGATATAAATGGGGCAGTAGGGAAAGACAGGGTACAGAGATGGAGACAGATGGGGGACAAGGATGGCAGACAGGAATGTGGCAGCAGAAGGTAGGAGTACGTTCAGGGAAGCAAAGAAGGGGAAAAAATCAGAAACAGGACACACATAAGGATAGGCAGGGGACAAGAATGAAGTACCAAACACCCAGAATTGGAAATTGAGATGGAAGAGAGGGAAGGTATGGGGCAAAGATGGAAGTCAGTCATGGGGAACTGGAGAGCACACAGGCCCCAGCAGGTAACTGGGGCTCAGGGTGTATTTGTGGAACGAAGGAATGAAGCACGTGATCCAACAAAGTGTCCCAATCATTCCGTGGGGCTGCCAGGATGGGACGGGTGCTCTCCATAGGCAAGGTGACCCTGTGCAGAGGGGTATGGCCACTGGGGATAATGGCACCGCTCCTGTTCTCCCCAACAGGTGTCTGAGTACTGGCTGAATGACATGTATCTCAATAACCGCCTGGCCTTGCCCGTGAACTCCAGCCCAGCCGTGATCTTCGCCCAGCAGCACTTCCCAGACATGAACGACCAGCTGAGGTGAGGCCACCGTGCTCCTGGGCTCACAGCTGGAGAGTCTGCCTGGAGCCCGGCCTCAGGACCAGGAAGGAAAGTTGGAGGCTTGTGCCCTGGCTGAGCTCTCTGAGGCCCAAAGCGCCCAAGACAGAGGCCGTCTGGGCCATGGGTCCGGGAAGTAGGTTAGATGCGGCTGCTCTGTGAGGGACAAACACAAGGTCTTCCTCAGAACATATTTATTTGGGATGCAGTTGACAGTAGTGGAGGCCGTGGTCTCCCCAAGCCCTGGTGTTTCGATGGCATTCTTGCCCTGGCTGAGGCCCTGGAAGGAGGTGTGTACCCTCTGACCCCACAAGGACTTGAGGCTTGCACTTGGCCCTGGGACACACTGCCCCAGGCTGTCTGAGAGGAACTCCGCTGAGCCCCCACTAGCCCCTAGCTCTAAACAGAGGCTCCGAGGGGGTGGAAACAGTTCCTTCCTGCCAGCTGCCACCACAAGAGCCTCTACCATCTGCTGTAATTTCAGGGCTCACTGAACCACTGGAACGGCCTCTGGGCCCACCGATGTTGCTGGGGGGGCGGGGTAGGCAAGCATTTGCACAGGGATGTGGCTGGGAGGAAGGGCCTCTGGACAGGAGTCGCTTTGAGCCACACCCAATGTGGCCCAGCATGGCCATGGTTCAGAGAGGAGAAAAAAAAACCAACCAACAAACAAAAGAGGCAGGGCCTACCTGGGCCTACAGGCAAGGCTCAGCGATGCTCAGAAGACCACCCCCCCCATCCCCTTCTTCCCCACCAGGACTAGCCCCGCTGAGCTGCTGGCCAGGCAGCCTGTAGCCCAGACCTCTGGGGGTGGGGAGACAGAAGAAAGTGTGTAGATAGATGGACGAACAGCTTCTGAAAACAGTTCTCAAACTGCATCCAAGGGGGCATTTTCTTCCTGATGCAATCAAGCCAGGGTCCTCATCCATGGACAGTTGAGATGACACAGTCCTGTGGCATGATCTCTGATGATGTCCCCCCCACCCCGCCTTCCAGCACCCCCTTCCATTTTCATTACCACTAAGGGGACCAAATTATTGACTTCCCCCAGGAGACTGGATTTCCCCAAACCTGGGTTCCTGGCCTAGTCTAGGCCCAGCACAGTCCTTTCCTAGGGAGAACCCTACCCCTGACCATCCAGCCTTCTCCTGCCTACTCTGCGGCCCCTCCCAGCTTCCTCTCCCTCCTCCTCCTCATTCACCTTCAAGTATCCTCTCCTCCAAATTATCCATTATCCCCACAGGACCATTTTAATCCAAGGCCTTTGAAGGACTGGCAGTGTGATGGCAGCTGTGGGGGGTGGTGGTCCTTGAGCTTGAGAGGTGGGCTGTGGAGTGGAAGGAATGGAAGGTTGGATAGTGGGAAGGAGCCTGGGCCCCTAAGAGGACAACCTCAGGCCTGCTCTCTCTGCAGGTTTGCAGCCAACCTCATCTCTGGTGTGCTCCACTACAAGACCCTGCTGGACAGGTAGGATGGGGCCAGCCTGGGGAGGGCAGTGCCCTGATTTAGCACAGCCTGCTGAGTCATATGTCTCCCTGCCACACTAGCCAAGGAGCTCCCAGAGGGCAGAGACCTTGTCTTTTCCAGCTCTGTGCTCCCGGCTCCTGTCATAGAGCAGGTGCATTACCACCCCTCCTCCACCCCCCATCCCAACTCCTCCAGCATCAGAATAACTTTTACCCCAGCTGACCCGACCATTAATGGGTCCTTTATGAGCCCTGTCCCTCCGTAATCTCTTTACGTTGCACCCCCCCACACACACACACCCACATTGTTATGTGTATCAGGAATTTAGGGAATCCAGGAGAAGGCAGAGAAGGAGTCCTGGGAGTGGGAGCCAGGTGATGGTGGGTTCAGCCTTGTTAGTTGCCAGCTGGGGGAATGGTCTCCCCACACTGAGCCCATGCACCTGGCTTCAACCTCACTGGTTTCCTCCCCAGCTTGGACACTTGTTCCCAAATGATCCGTGGTGAAGGACCAATGTATTTTTTAATTTTATAAAATGTAAAACACTACAAAAATGAATCTGCAGAACAATGGTACAAAGGTACAAAATACACAACCATGTATTTTATTTTTATTTTAGACTTGACAAAAAATTCCACAGTCAAATTGCTATAATAAAAGTTTCTGAGAGCTCCCACTGACTCCCACAGTTCAGTGCGGTGCCTGTACTTCAAGCAGCAGGGTTATGGGACACCCCACCCTCCCTCTGCCCCAGCTAATCTCAGGGCTGCCTCTTACCCTCAGGGCTCAGCTCACATGGCTGGTCCTTGTCACCCTGAAACCCTCCCATTTATCAGCTCGTTGCTTGTTGTCTATGCTTTACCTACACAACCCAGGACCTGTGCCCCATTAGAACAGAACACTCATGTTTTGTTTGCCACTATAACCCCAGATCCCAGAAAGGTGCCTGGCACAAAGGAGTGCTCCATTTGTTGCCTGAAAGGGAGGAGGGAAGGAGAGAGGGTGAAGAGACAGAGAGAGAAGGAAGAAGAAGATGGAAAGGAAGTGGAGGACAGAGGGAGGAAGGAAGGAAAGATGGAAGAGAAGGAAAGAAGGGGAGATAGAGAAAGAAGGAAGAGAGGGGAGAGAGGGATGGAGGAAGGAAGGAGAGAGATAAAGGGAGGAGGGGAGGAGGAGGGGGAGGAAGTGGTGGACGAGAGGCGAAGGGAGGGAATCAAGAGGGACACAAGATGTGCTGAGACCACAGGAGAGGAAGGACTTTCTACCATGAACTCAGAGAAGGCTTCTGGAAGAGGTGATGGAAGAGTAGGCTCTTGAAGGGGTGGAAGGAGTTTTCCAAACAAATCCGTTGAGCACAGGGGCGGGGTGAAGGCAGGCTAAGCAAGATCAGCACAAGCGAAGGCGTGAGGACTGAAACACAAGTTCTGTACATGTAGTGCCCAAGGCAGGGGTGAAGGAGACAGTCGGAGGTTTCAGAAAACCCCAAGGGTCTCTCCATGGGCCATGGAAATAGGGCACCCCACTACTTCAAAGAGTGGGGAATCCAGCTCCTTGATGGCCATCCTAATGCAGTTCTGGGTTTTGTGCCCTGCTTTGCCGAATCGAGTCAAATAGCACCAATTCCAATCCCTTCCTCCCTCCCCGCTCTCCAGCCACTCCATCCCCACCGACTGTGCCAAGGGCCAGCTGTCAGGGCAGCCACTCTGTATGAAGCAATACTATGGGCTCTTCTCCTCCTACCGGCTCCCTGGCCACACCCAGGACACACTGGTGGCCCAGAAGAGCAGTGTCATGCCCGAGCCAGAGCACGTCATCGTGGCCTGCTGCAACCAGGTAAGCGGCCCTCTCTGCTGCAGCCTCTCCAGCTGGGGAGGGCACAGGAGGACCAGTCCGACTTCACCAAGGGTGCTCAGCCTCCTCTCAGAGGCACACAGTGAGCTAGGACAGAGTAGGTTCTCTTGACTCCTAGTCAGTCCCACTTCTCTCCCTTGAGTTGCATTTTAAGAACGAGGAGAGTCATCGATTGAGAATGACTTCCATGGGCTCCCGTTTTGGCCCTGACCAGCCAGGTCGGCTGGTCTGGATGGACGGTGGGGCCTTCATGAGACCCAGCAGGGCCTCAGCCACTCCTCATGAATCACCCAGGCGGTGGCCTTCCTGGAGACCACATGCAGACAGATGGACAGCTTTACAGACTGACTGTCCAGACCTCCATGTCTAGGCTGTAAGCTCGCCGCTTACATGTATTCATCCTGCCTGATTCTATAGTGACTCGCAGAAGGGCTTGGAATCCCATATGACCGAAGAGCTGAGCAGCCTGTCCAAGGCTGAGAAGGCCTCGGAGACCTCGCCAGTGTCCCCTGCTTATGCCCCACCTCCTAGTAGCTCACGACTTCACACTGGCTTCTGGGAGCCCACAAGGGCCCATGAGGACCAAGGGGACAGGCTGAGCCTAAGGACCCTTGGCCCCTTACCAGTGCCCACCAGGCTATCTATAGATTCTATGCTGAGCCTCCCCCTAATTATTTCATCTGACAAAAAGCTGTTTTAGGGTTTTTTGGTTTGGGATTTTTGTGAGGTTTTTTGGTGTGGGTTTGTTTTAGTTTTTGGTCTTGGGTTGTTTGTTCTTTTTGTTGTTGTTTGTTTGTTTGTTTTGCTTTGCTTTGTTTTGGTTTTGGGTTTTGGTGGGTTTTTTGTTTGGTGTTGTTGGTTTTTGGTGTGTTTGTTTGTTCATTTGTTATTGTTGTTTTTTGCTAAAACCCAAGTTTAACACCTACCCAGAGATTCCCCAGCTATTCATGCCACCACGTTTTCTCTTGGGCTCCCCTGACATTTGCAGTCATTGATAGGAGCTCAGGAAAAGTCTGCCATCCTAGGTTGGCTCTTCCCACCAGAAGCCCACCTGGCAGTTTGGCCACAAACAAGAACTTTTCTCCATCTTCATTAAAACATCAAACTAGCATTTCCCAGCCCCCCCCATGCTGCAGTATTCGTCCATTCCAGAAATGCCCTCAGGGCCCCTGCCCTGGACTAGGCCACGAGTATGCTACTCAGGGCATGAGACCAGGTTCTCATATCAACTGGCTGAAAAGGGATCACAACTTGGGGCTGGAATAAGACCTTTCATGAAGCCCAAGACTTCAGCTTCAGAGCTACTAAATGATAGCTCACACACCTCCCGCAGAACACACGCATGTACACATATATATGTACACATATAGGGATAGAACTTTTGCATGTTGTTTTTCATTTTAATCTTCCTCTGCATATTATTTGATGACTTGCCTTTTTTTCTCTGCTTCTGTTGTGTTTGAGATCTGTCCCTGTAGCCATATCTAGAACTAGTTCATTCCCATTAACTGCTGAGTGGACGTGCACTAGACAAAGGTGCTACATTTGACTTAGCTATTCCCCTACTGGAAAACACTTGGGCACCCTCTACCATGTTGCTATTGCAAATATGGCTTATATGCACACTCCTTCACTTATCTTCGAGGTGCAAGAGTATATGTTTCTCCAAGCCTTAGTCTAAAATATGCATATAGAGGAGTAATTGCTGAATCATAAGGAACACACGTTTATAGTTTGGACAGACACTGCCCTCCAACAGCAATGGTGCAAATTTATACCTGATTCCCCACATGAAGTAAGAACCACAGAAGGAAGTTTTATTTGAGCTAAGTTTAATCTGCCTTCTTTGATTTGGGGAAGCTTGGAGTCCAGCACAGCTGACAGCATTGGCTGGGTCCCCAACTTGTGACTGTTCAGAGCCATCATGTACCTTGAGATCCCTGGGCCCGAGTATCCCCCACCTGTGCTCACATGTGAAGGCTCAGTGAAAGCCCTTCGCCTTGGGCTGGCTGCCATGAGTGATGTGTTTGACCTGTTTCCCCCACAGTTCTTTGTCTTGGATGTTGTCATTAATTTCCGCCGTCTCAGTGAGGGGGATCTGTTCACTCAGTTGAGAAAGATAGTCAAAATGGCTTCCAACGAGGATGAACGCTTGCCTCCAATCGGCCTGCTGACGTCAGAAGGGAGGAGCGAGTGGGCTGAGGCCAGGACAGTCCTCGTGAAAGGTTAGCAGCAGTGCCCGGTGCGTCTCCACGCTCATCTCATCCTCATGCCCATTGGCTTTCCTTCCTCCAGGGTCGGGCACCATGCCTCATCTCCATTTGCCATAGCATGGAGAGCTCAGGCCTCCCTCCAACTCAGGACCCAACAGCACGTGGGCTGAGGCACCCGGGGGCTGACAGCACCTTTTGTACCCTCATATTTCATCCGGCAATGTTCTAGCTTCCTGGATGATTAGCGCTGAAATCCTGGGATGTCTGGGAATATTGAGGGAGGGAAGGTTTTGAGCTGGAGGAAGGCTGGCTACAATTAAGCAGTTGTGATTTACTGGTGGCAGGGATGGTACCCATTTTAAGGGTCTGAGTCACTGGCAGAGCTGTCACATGGAGATATAGGATAGAGCCCAGCTCTGGGAGGGTGGTTCACTGCCTCGGTCCTGGAACTTTTCATCTTCAGGCTGACCTATCCTTCTGGCTGGTTGCTGCTCTTAGGAAGGTTTCTAAGCATTCCCATAAGAAAGCTGATAATAGGGGCACCTGGGTGGCTCAGTGGGTTAAAGCCTCTGCCTTCAGCTCAGGTCATGATCCCAGGGTCCTGGGATCGAGCCCCTCATCGAGCCCCACATCGGCTCTCTGCTCAGCACGGAGCCTGCTTCCTCCTCTCTCTCTCTCTGCCTGCCTCTCTGCCTACTTGTGATCTCTGTCTGTCAAATAAATAAAATAAAATAAATTAAAAAAAAAAGAAAGCTAGTAATAGTCTTAAAAATTTTAAGTCATCCTTCTGGAAACTCATTTTCAAATCCAAAGCCAGTCCTATTCCCAGGTATTGGATGCAGTACTTTCCCTCCTTGCCTAATTAGAGAGTCCAGGATAAGAGGGAAGGCTTCTGTGGAACTCCATGTGCATCTCAGGCTCTTGTTCGGCCAGGTGTCCATTCCGACTCCCCCGAGTGTCTGTCAGCTGAGGATCTGGGTGAGGCTTGGAAAGTTAGGAGGCAGAGGCAGAAAGGAGGAAGCCCCTGCCCCTGAGCAGCCCACTGGACAGGGGAAGGGAAGGCATCTGGGGGGCACAGATTCAAGTACACAGTGATGCAGCAGCCACCCACGTAAAGCAATAGAGAGCAGGTCCCCAAAAAAGTGCTCTAGGACTTCAGCGAGAGGAGGGGGCCTTTCCACTTGGGAGGCCTGTGAAAGGCTTTGTTGGAAGAGGTGGGACTCAGCTCAGGTGTCACTGCCTCAGGCCCCCTAGGACATCCCCCACTCAACACACTCTGTCACCTTGTCCTGCTGTCTTATACTAATTGCCCTTGTCACTCTCTGAAGTCAGCTTCTCATTTGTTTATGCATGCTGATTACCTGCCTCCCTTCCCTAGTCTCTGAGGAGAATAGGAGCCTTATCTGTTTGGATTAACTTTTAAATCTGCTGTGCCAAACACAGTGGGGCCCCAGTTATATCTGTTAAATAAAAGAACAGAGGGTTACGAATGATAGCAGGCCCCAGACTTGTTGCCTCCCTACCAGTTAATGATTTTTCATTCAACCCTGGGGCACCTGTGGAATGCTCAGTCCTAAACTGGGGGCTGCACGGGCCACAGGAGGGTGTGAAAGCCGAACCCGTCCTCACAGACCTAACCGCCAAGTTGGAGAATTAATAACTTCTCGTTGGAAAGTGAGTTAATTCCCTCAGGAGACCATGGTGTAATCAAATCCCACTCCTCTCCCCTTCAGGGACAGAGACAGGCATCAGACAATCCCCTCCGCTTCCAATACAGTTTCCACTTTATTAGCAGACCAAGCTACCTCCCTGTAGGACTGACCGGGATTGCCTTGAGGTTTAAGTGCTTGGGCTGTGCTAATCGGAATTAATTTGTTAATGGCACTTGATCTGGCTTTCTGAATGGAAGTGCTGTTTCTGAGGGCAGCGTGACAGAGAGGAGGGGCCCACACGCTTTCTCTTCAGAGATCTGATTATTGTGGTTGGCACTGACTGTGTCATCGGCACAGCAGGAAACCAACCCTCCACAGAGCCCTCCTCCCCAGAGCAGCCCCAGCCTACAGAGAGGAAACCATTTAAGAAAGGATTTCACTATAGATGCGAAAGATGGCAGCAACTTGGATGAGGCTGGAGAGTAAAGATGAAAGACATGAGTGGGGTCCGGATACATTGCAAAAGAGAAGTGACAAGGAGGAATAGTAAAATGAGAGAGATTCCTAGATTTTTTTTTTTTTAAAGATTTTATTTATTTGACAGAGAGAGATCACAGGTAGGCAGAGAGGCAAGCAGAGAGAGAGGAGGAAGCAGTCTCCCTGCCGAGCAGAGAGCCTGATGTGGGACACGATCCCAGGACCCTGAGATCATGACCTGAGCTGAAGGCAGAGGCTTAACCCACTGAGCCACCCAGGTGCCCCAGATTCCTAGATTTTTGATTCGAGCATCCTAAATGGTGATTTCCCTGTGACGGGAACCAGGTTGGTGAAGTGACTACAGAATGAAGTCCTTTCTAAGTATGTCAGGTTTGAGATGCCTTGAGTCATCTAAGTGGAGATGTCAAATTAGATCTATGTGTCTGGAGCTCAAGAGAGAGGTCAGTACAGAGACATAACTTTGAGAGCCATCAGCACATAAGTGATATTTAAAGTCATGGACCTGGGTGAGATCATCTAGAAACAGCGGAATGGGTCCTTGGAGGTCAGGTAGGGAAAGATGCAAAGCGGATTGAGAAAGAGCAGCCTATGAAGTCAGGAGCAAACCAGGAGATGAGTCATGAAGATCCAAAGTGAAAGAGGAAGCAGCCAGCCACTTGGAATGCTGCTCAGAGCTCAAGGAAGAGCTGGACAGAGAGGAGACTCAGAGCTTGGCAACACTAAGTTATCAGTGACTTTCACCGAGACCAGACACAGGAGTAGGAAGGATGATGCTAATGGGTGTGATCCAACAGCAGGAAGAAATTGTTGATGAGACTGTCAATGAGTAGGATCAGTTAAGCGTGGACGACTCTTTTCAGGTATTTTGGTATTAAGAGAGCAGGAAAATGAGGCAGTTCCTGGGAGAGGATGGGAGTCAAAGGGAGTGTCTTGAGTCAGAGAGGCAAGTGCGTGATTGTATGCAGACAAGTCTATGGAAGTACTCCAATAGGAGAAATTATTAATGAAGACAGAGGAGATGAATGGAGGCATGGGATTCTTGCAAAGGCAAAAGGAAATGCAAGCCAAAGAATAAGAGGCCTTTGGTTGGAACTGGGAAAACTGAAACCTGGGCATGCGGTCGTGGTGGTGGGAATGTGAGGAGGTTCTTGACTGATGGCTTCTGGTCTCAGATCAGAGGCTAAGAGCAATGGCCATGAGCCGAGAGAGGCACCAGTAGCATTCTGAAGACAAAAGGGAACACAAGAAATAGCCTCTTGGAAAACTTGATGAGATTTATGGACTCTGTTGAGCTCATATTTAAGGGCTTGGGGGTCATACGTTTTAGGAGAAATTAATTAGCTTTGTTTTACAATTTGTTGCCTCAGGTTCAGGCAAAGAGAAGGTGGGTCACCAGGTTCAGCCTTGGTTGGAGAACATAACCGAGGGAGAGAAGGTGAATGTATGGCAAGGGACTGGTTATAGTGTTGGAATCTGAAAGGGGGAGACCGAGGGTCTGAGAGAGGAGGGTGCGCGTGGGCTGGGTCCTCCACACAGACTGCAGGAATGAGGGCTGGAGTGGTGATGGGGAGGAAGAAGGTGAACCGGGTGCCCAGACTTGCATGATGGGGAGTTGTGAGGACATCAGGGGAATGCAGCAACATGGGGGCAGCGACGAGGGGGATGGGAAGGTGGAAGTCTAAGAGCTGCGGCTTCAAAGGAAAAGCAGGGAGGAGCCGCGCAGGCGCAGGGACAGGGAGAAGAATACCACCGACCCCACTGGACCTCAGGGTGCATGAGTGTGAAGGAAAATAGTCTCCTGGAGAGGTCACAGGAAGTGTGTCCCTCAAGTGTGTCCCTCGGGGGGTGCCCCCTCCCGCCAAGTGAAGCAGGTGAACAGAACACTCTCAGAAGAGATTAGCAGTGCAAGGGGACCTGCCATCATTACTCAGACATCATGAAGTGTTCGAGAAGGGGGAAAGGCTGCGGGGGGTGAAGGATGAGTCCACGCAGGGGACACTAGAGCAGCAGGGCATGGGAGTGCCAGCCAAAGACCCAGGGATGGTGGTCATCATTGCAAACAATGCTCCCAAATCCTCAGCCTCTGGGAAGGCACTCTCCTGGTTCCAGGTGTGGTTGTGGGGGCTGGGCTAGGGGTTTGACTGGCCCAGGTAGGTGTCGTCTGGCAGGAGCTTTCTTGACCAAGTTGAGCTCCTGTTGACCCGTTGGAGGTCTGGACCGAGACATCTGAGCTCAGACAAAATCTGAATTCTCATAGGGTCCACTGAGAACCAGTGGGGCAATTGATTTTATCCATGCTTTCTCCCTAGAGAGACCATCCCTGATCCTTCACTCTGCTCCCCAACCAAAACAGCTCCCTTCGTCGGCCCACCGGCTCTCCAACCTGACCCTGTGCCGTGACATTGGGAGGGTGGAGTTCACAGGACAGTGGACCAGCTGTCTGCCGTAAAACCCAGGCTCCCCCCTTCACCCGGTGCTCCCCCCACCCCCTGTGGCCCCAGCACTGCTCACACAGAGCTCTCTGAGAATGTGCAGGACAGGTGAGTGTATCATCGTCTCTATCTGCAGCCTAATCATCCACAGCCAACACAGAATAGGATCTTGGAGGTCCAAGGGCTAAGAGATCTGGCAGGACCATCACTGCCCCCCCAGAAGCCTGTGGTCTTGTTGGGGAGACCTGGAATAAACAGAATTTTCAGGACAAGAGTGGACAGGATAAAACCAAAGGAGTATCTCCAACAGGAGTCCTGAGGGAATTGGGGGATCTTATCCCCTGTGCATGTCATAGCTTAGGAGGGCTTCCTGTGTCAAGTAGAACATGAGGCTAAGCCCAGGTGGGTTGAGCTGGCTGTGACTGGGGCT